CCCTCTCTCTCTCCACCTCTCCCTCCCTCTCTCCCTCCCTCTCCCCCCTCTCTCTCTCTCTCTCTCTCTCTCTCTCCGTGTCTGTTATCGCGAACACCCTCCGTGATTGAATACAAACCCCTTCACCGGATCCCACTAACGCAATGATAATACAGCTGCAATCCACCAAGGAATCAAAGCAGCAATAACGCGTAACCAAACACTTGGATATCGCTACGGCAGAATTACAAAGTTCTATCTGACATTTTGAGCCGCTCGGAGTTATTAGGACCATGAGGTCAGAAACCAAATAGTCTATCTGCTCTATCAAAATCGTAATTTTAGTATCCGGAGTCGTTATAAAGATATTCAAAGAATTTCATTCGAAAAGGCTTGTGTTGAAACTCGAAAGTTTTGACATCAAATTCATCAAATCTATGCACTATGCAGATAGAACTTTGCTATTCTGAGGTAGTGATACTATCATACTATGTTAGCGTCAATCCGCGTATACACCAAGGGATTTTATAGGTTTATTTGTGCAGGGCTTTGGGGTTTGTTTGGGGGTGGGTGGCAGAATTTGGCTTTTGTAAGCTTGATATCAAGGTGAAGCATAAAAGAGGAGTTGGGGGGTTGGGGAGGGGTGGTGGCAGGAATGATTAGGCTTTAGTTAGGTAGATATCAAAACGAGGGGAAAAAACGACCGGGGTAGGGAAGGGGGGGGGGTAAGAAAGATAAGACTTTTGAAAGGTTGTATAGTTTTAACTAATGTTACCTTTCACTCCCAACGCTTGAGAGTAGTTATAGTTGTAGTAGAGGTTTTACGGCCCTCGCAACTGCATAAGGTCATACGAGTGCCAGTCGCTTAAGCTGTAGTAAGGCGTAGATCTCGTTGGTCCTCAGGGGCCCGGCGACTGCTGTGTCTTATTTTGTCTGTCATCTCGGTTGGACTGACGCTCTTTATTTCCCATTGAGTGTAGAGTTCAGTGTCCGGTTGATCTCGATCTAGATCTAGTTCGCACTCACCAGTGCACGGGGAAAAACTGAAACCCGTGTGCAATCAGTTGGCCAGGAAGTCGCCCCCAAAACTGGTCAGGTTTTGAAGATGTAAAGGGCTAAAATCTCGGCCCAACAGTTGATACCAAGAACAGGTTTAATGTTTTCAAAAAAGAAGAAGAAAAAGGGGAGGGGAGGGGGGTCTGAATGCAAGAAGCAGACAGTTTGAATAGTATAGCGTAAGTGTCTAGTCACTGAAGACTAAGTTCTGAAAAGGATATTGTAGTGTAGTGTTCCCAGCATAGCGTTTCTTGCTTTTTACTACTTGCTTTGCATGCTTGTCTTCCGCTTCTTCTTTAGCAAATATGGTCGCTTTTAAGGACACGCGGGCTAACCCAGATTTCGGGGACGTCCAGAAATTTTGACCTACACCAAAAGTGGGCATTGTCCTTCCTATAGGAGAAGTTTGGTTTCATTGGAGCGTATATTTGTTTGGTTATTGAGAAAACCCTCCTTGTCTTTTTAAGATAGCTTTCATGGGTTCAAAAACTTTACCTTCGATTTTCTCAAAATAGCATTTTTCGGGATAACTCCCTTGTGCTTTAAAAGAGACTATTTTACAGAGTTAGGAGCTTCACTGAGAACACACGCTATGAAAGTTCAAAATTCCGAGTGACGTGCAAAAACCGCTTTGCACTTAAACATCGCTTTAAAATTGTTTGTTCAGTGAACTTCGAACTGTTTGTGCGTGCATGCGTGCGTATGTGTGTGTATATATATATA